CACCATCCTCCACATTCCCACCCCGAGCCTGCTGACTTCACCCAGCGCTCACCGTCCTCCACATTCCCACCCCGAGCCTGCTGACTTCACCCAGCACTCACCATCCTCCACATTCCCACTCCAAGGCTGGACTTCCACCCAGCGCTCACCATCGTCCACATTCCCACCCCAAGCCTGCTGACTTCCTGTAGCGTCGCTGTGAGTCAGAGTCGATGGCAGCGGGTTTGGTTTTGTTTTTTGTTCAGAACTGAAGTTCTGTGGTATCAAAGAACCTAGACACACAGATATACAGACAATGAAAAATAAACTGTTAATGGGTTCCTCTTAATGGCCATCAACTCTGGGAATTTAAATCTTTTACCTTTTTATAAAGCCAAAAAACCCAAACCCATTGCCATCAAGTCGATTCTGACTCATAGTGACCGTATAGGACAGGGTAGAACTGCGCCATAGGGTTTCCAGGGAGCATCTAGTGGATTCAAACTGCCGACCTTTTGGTTAGCAGCTGAGCTCTTAACCACTGCTCCAGCAGGTTTCCCGCTTATCCCACTTACCTTTCTATACTGTTCTTTTTTTCCCCTTGAATTTAATAAAATCTGCAGTAAAATAGCTCAGCGGTTTAAAGGTGGGAGTAGACGTCACAAGAGAGGATTGTTTTCTCATCATAGTCATTTAACAATCAGATGTTTATTGAAACCAGCTGTTTACAAGGCAGATGCGCGTGCCAAGCACTGTGGCAAATGGACTGTTCATTGGACAAAACCCTTGTGGTTGGGGCAGCCTGTGGTTCACGAAGGACTGCAGACCCTTCACGAAAGCATGTTGCTGATAATGATGCGCTGATTGGAGGTCTGACGGCATCACATAGACTGGAGATGAGTGGTGGGGAACTGGGGCCACCTCATTTCACTTGTGTCAACTGCACAGGTACCGAGAACATAGGTGTTAAGAACCTCTCAGCTGTGGCATTGCAGTGTCTATGCCTTTGCTGAACTGGGGCATCTAAACCCAGATCAGCCTCTGTGTTTTGGCTTGTTTTGCCAGAGTTTTATTGAGTCAGTTGTGACTTAAACCAGTAGGCCAGCAGCCTGGGTTGAGAAATCCTTTTGTCAGTGATTTATTTATTGTAATGGGAATTGCCCTGTGTACCAGAGTGTCTCCAGAATAGCCCCCGTGTGTGTGGACTGCTGGTCTTTAGGTGGGTTTTACATATGTGAACTCAGAATCACATGAAGAGAAATGCTGAGGAGAATAAATGGGGGAGAAACGCGCCTTCACCAAAATACCTGGTTTCCTGCTCTTTCCAGGAAATTATGAGTGGTTAAGTGCTGCGGCTGCTAACCAAAGGGTCAGCAGTTCAAATCCACCAGCCACTCCTTGGAAACCCTGTGGGGCAGTTCTACTCTCTCCTGTAGGGTCACTCTGAGTCAGAATCAACTTGATGGCAACGGGTTTGGTTTGGTTTGGTTTGGTTTTAACATCATCAGCATGTAATAGGCAAATGGCCTGCCTGTCTTACCCATTTGTCCAAGCTGAGAATGAAGAGACGGGGTTAGCTGTCTCTCTGGTTACGTCGTGGTTCAACATGTCTACTTAGCCTGAATCACTGGCGTGGAGTCCTCGTGTTGCCGTGGGGGCAGCCCTGTGGCTCTCCCCGCTGCACTCTAATGCCCATGACGAGATTAGGGCAGGCCCTCCCCCGGCAGCTCCTGCTGGGGCTCCATGCGGGTTCCTACTAACAAGGCCCTTGTGCCTGTTTTCCTTCCAGCCAACTGGAAAAACGCCTTCGGACAGCCGGCTTGTTCAGCCCCTGGTCTACATGGAGCGCCTGGCACTCATCCGAAACGTCTGCAGAGACGAAGCCCTGAGGAATCTCTCACACACGTCCGTCTCCAAGTTTGTTCTGGACCGAATATTTGTCTGTGACAAGCACAAGATTCTTTTCTGCCAGACTCCCAAAGTGGGCAACACTCAGTGGAAGAAAGTGCTGATCGTTTTGAACGGTGCGTGTAGGGCCCAGGGCGTGTCTGTGCATTTGGAGGCTGGTAGGGCGGGGGAGGAAGACAGCAGGGAAGTCCCAGGAAGGAATGGTTTCTGTGTTAGGACTAGTAACCTTGAAGACGTGCCTTTGTTCTTTTCTTTACCTATCAGTGCTATACTTTAAGAGTTGGTGGAATTAATATAGATACTGCTTGTGCACAGCCAGGGCCGGGTTCGCCTTGCTTTGCACATTGGGATCCATCACAGGCCGCTTGCCCCACCCCCACTGAGCCCTTCTTCTTCTTCTCCTCAGATTCTTTGCACTGATTCTTACCAGTCGCTATTTCTGTGCTCCGTTATTCAAGGCCAGACTCCCTCAGCCCCCAGGAAGCCGCCCCTCACAGCTGCCCTTCTCCCAGTGCCTGGGAGGGGGGCCTGCCCCCTGGGGCCTCCAGCCATAGCCCGCACAGCTCTTCATCCTCTGACTCAGTTTTCCGTCCCACTGGGTAGAGCGAAATTGTCCCCATTTTGCACTAAGCATCTTATTCAGAGGTTTTACCTGCTTGCTTCAGGAAATCTGATATTTACTCTCTTGCTGTTAAGTCAATTCTGACTTACAGCAACACTATGGGACAGAGTAGAACTGTCCCTTAGGGTTTCCAAGGAGCAGCTGGTGGATTTGAATTGCTGACCTTTTGGTTAGCAGCTGAACTCTTAACCACTGTGCCACCAGGGCTCCTTACTGGGGGGCAGATTAGATCATTGGAAAACGACCTCGTGCATTGCACTTTTTGATTACTCGCTGCTCTTTTAGGACTCCATATTTGCTTGTTTAAATTCCAGTTGCTCTGAACTAATCCAGGATAAGCCTCTGTCTGTTAAATTCAGTTTCAGAAGGAATATAGTTCAAATTGACAGCAGCTTGAACCCTGGACCAGGGGGCACTTGGGTTCTCCGCCCTCCAGACACCTTTAAACCAAAAGTCAAACCGTGGTTCTCTAGCAGATTCTGACTCACAGCGACCCTACAGAATACAGTAGAACTGCCCCACAGGGTTTCCAAGGAGCGGCTGGTGGATTCGAACTGCTGACCTTTTGGTTAGCAGCCGAGCTCTTCAGGCACCATTAGTGATGTTTTCAGAGTTACTGGTCAGTGTTTGCTGTCATTTGGCGTTTTCACAGGTTGCTTGGGGGAGAAAAGAGAGATACTGCATCTTCCGGTCTCCAGGTGTATAACTCACATGCAGAGCATGCTGCATTAGAGCCCCCTCGAGTCATGTGGCTGTAATTAGTCTTTTTCAATTGGAGAATCGTTTGCAAATCAAGTTTAAGGCAAAGAGTCTACAGAAGTGTCTCATAAATTGCACGCAGTGTGAAGCATCACACTTTAAGGAAGAAGTGAACACCCACTTAATGCTGAGTCATAACAATAGAAGAAGGACTGGTCCCTGTGGCTGTCTTCAGGTGTCCCTAGATGCACCTGGGAAGTCCAGAGGCAAATCCACAGAACTAGTTCTAGAATCCCTCTTGAGAGTGGAGGTTTCATCTCGCGTGTTTGTACGGCCACCCCCCACAGCGCTTAGCACAGCGTCCTGTACTGGTGCTTAAGGACTATCATCAGAAGGAGCGAGTGAGGCGCTGCTTCAATAGCCAAGCAGAGATTCTGCGCTGCCGGAACTCCAAGCTCAGTACCATAGGACCAACACAGAGATGGATGGTAGGGTTTGCAGAGGCTTGGCTGAAGCCTTCTCTCGTGATGCCAATTTATTTCCATTTGTGTAAGTTTAGAAAAGAGTGGAAAACCTGCCCAACCTGCCAGCGTTTGGGCGGATCCCACCCACGTTCCAGTCAGCCGTCTGGCCCCAGCTGCCCTGGCTTCAACAGACAGAGCATGGCTTTGCCTGCTGGCCTGCCTTCTCTGGAGAGGCTCCTTGTCCTCTGTGGGAGCCCTGGTGGTGCAGCAGTTAAGAGCTCGGTTGCTAAACAAAAGGGTGACAGTTGGAATCCACCAGCCGCTCCTTGCAAACCTTGTGGGGCAGTTCTACTATATTCTGGAGGGTCGCTGTGAGTCAGAATCGACTCGACAACAAGGAGCTTGGTTTCTTTGATTTGGCTGCCCTCTGTTGAATCCTGTTTCATATGTACCACAGAGCTCCCAGACTGTTAGTCAGATTTTCCAGCATCAACACCCCTTGCTGCTTGCCAGTGTGGGGTGCTGTGAGGCTACCTGAGAGGCGCCCTCTGCTGTGGAATGTGGTTGCCGGGAGAGTTCAGCCTGTCAGTCGTGAGGGTGAGCACGAGGGTGAGCGTGGTGGTGCCGTCTGGGCAGCAAGCTGTGTGCTCAGCAGTCCTGTTCCTCCGGCATTTCCCCCAGTTTCAGAGTAGGGTGAATACAGCTCATTTTAGAAATACAACTTGCATGCGATGATCTTTCTTTAATGGCAGATTTAACCCAGTTTCTGTACATTGCCAGAGGTAGATTTTACCAGTATTTCTACCCCTTGTCCCCTCTCCCCGTAACTCATCTATCCCTTCTACTTGGCTTATGGGTTTGCCGCAAGCTTTTCTTCATCGTCTTACCTGCCAGAAGAAGCAGTTGGAATTCAGACGCCTAACAGGTGAATGTTGAAGGCAGGTTTGTCACACGTGCCTGTGGGAGCGTGAGGTCCCGGTTAGAAGCAATGGGACGTCTTTCTTGAAGGGTAGTACGGAGGTTGTCAGCCTTGTCTTCTTTACTTCCCAGGAGCATTTCCTTCTATCGAAGAGATCCCTGAAAACGTGGTCCACGACCATGAAAAGAACGGCCTCCCCCGCTTGTCTTCTTTCAGCGACGCAGAGATTCAGAAACGGTCAGAGCAGGTGTCACACAGGGGAGGGGGAGGAGATCGCGGAAAACCCGGGGCTCAGCTGTGGTCCAGACCACCCCGAGGGTTCCTGGGGCGGTGGGTCTGCGCTGGTGAGGGGCAGCCGAGAACATACCCCGCATCGGCGCATTTAAATCCCCGAGTCCCTGCGGGAACGTCAGAGCTCTTCCTTCAGAACCTCCTCTGCGCAGCCGTTAAAATGGAAATGACATCATTTTCTTAATGGAAATAAGTGGTCGCTTTTGCTCTGCTTTGTTTTTGTTAAGTTTTCTGATTCCTTAGTGAATATGATCTTTTCTTCCTAAAAAAGAGGCCTGGGTTGTAGGGAAACCCCACTTGTTTTTCATTTTTTCCCAAAGGCGTGAGCCTGATCCTCCTGTGGCTGCCCCTGGGCAGTGACAGCGTTGGCTGGATCTAGCACAGGCTGAGCGGAAAGACCCCACTGATCACAGCAGGCACGGGGCACTCATTTGACAGATCACTTAGCTAATGAATCGGAAAGCTCTCCTTGTCAGCTGTGAAACGGCCCAAGAGAGCAAGATTTAAAGGAAGAGTGTGCAGGCAGCAAGTAACCAGCAGGTCACCCACTGAACTCTGATCCCTCTTGCTTTGCATTGCTCCCGACCCTGGTTAATTCAGTCTTTCCAGCTTGTACACAGAACCTTTAAAATGCAGAGGTTAAATGTCAGATCAGGGAGTCTCCTGGGTAAGGACTGTCCTGTTATCCCCCTAAGCGCTCATCTCGTGGGGTTTTGTGAGGTTAAATTAAGACATGTGAAGCATTGAAGGCAGTTTCTGGCATGCCGTAAGCATCCTGTAAATATGGCGATGTGGGTGTTGTTCACACCACTACCCCTACTCCACTGGGACCATCTTCCCTGCCAGCTGGAGCGGGGAGCCTCTCTCTCCATTTTCTCCTACCTGGCGGCTCTCTTTCTCCCCCTTCCTCTGGCCATTCTGAATTGAATTTTTAAAGATACATCTTTAAAGTAACTTTTTCTGGCCTCAGCTGCTCCTAACTCACTCAGAACACCTTCCCTTATAGTTTTCTTCCCCAGGAACAAAGCTTTTAAACATTCTTGGCATTCTGAAATACTCAAGTAAAACAAAACGTAGGTTAAATAGGCTTCTTCGCAGTGGCTGGCCCCTAGGATGAACACTGTGGCCTTGGACAAATTCAGATTTCCCAGCCTCTGTTTCCTCACCTGTGAAATGGGGTAATAACAGGGTTGTTGAGGGGATTAAGCAAGAGATGCCTGTGAAGCACTTAGCGCGGTGATGGGCTCGAGCGAGGGTGTGAGAAATGGCAGCTGTTGGTCGCTCCGGCCGTTCATCACATTCCCACCTTGACGGCCGCTACCACCTGCAGCGTCTCATTGACTACTTACTTGTTTCTGTTTTTCCTTAGATTGAAAACCTACTTCAAGTTTTTTATTGTACGAGATCCCTTTGAAAGACTCATTTCTGCGTTCAAGGATAAGTTTGTTCACAACCCACGCTTTGAGCCTTGGTACAGGCATGAGATCGCTCCCGGCATCATCAGGAAATACAGGCGGAACCGAACGGAGACCCGGGGGATCCAGTTTGAAGATTTTGTGCGTTACCTGGGCGATCCAAACCGCAGATGGCTGGATCTTCAGTTTGGGGACCACATCATCCACTGGATGACGTTTGTAGAGCTCTGCGCGCCCTGCGAGATCACGTACAGCGTGGTGGGACACCACGAGACGCTGGAGGACGACGCTCCGTACATCTTAAAAGAAGCTGGGATAGACCACCTCGTGTCGTACCCGACCATCCCTCCCGGCATCACCGTGTATAATAAAACCAAGGTGGAGCACTACTTCCTCGGGATAAGCAAACGAGACATCCGGCGCCTGTATGCACGTTTTGAAGGGGACTTCAAGCTCTTTGGGTATCAGAAGCCAGACTTTTTGCTAAACTGAGACCTAGGACCTGTGCATTCAATTATCTTCGTTAGACCAGGGGCTAGCAGGTAGAGATCTGAGCACAGAAATGACGCTTCCTCGGTGATGCTCCTGAAGACTGCCACAGTCTCCCGCGCACCTGCCAGCACCTTGGCTCGTGAAGTAGGGCCCGACTGTGATCACTTAGTGGGGGCACAAGCTGCAGTGAAGGGCCCCCACCCCACCCTGACTGGTGTCTTTAGGATGCCACTACGTTTGCTCTCCTCAGAGGAAGAAAAAGACTAAAAATGTGCAGCCTGACAGACCAGGAGGGAAATGACACCGTGTCATGTCACTCATTTGTCAGAGGTGGGCTCTTTCCGTGGTGATCTGTAACGGTCAGGCGGCAGTCTCATCTGTCACAGGTGGATTGCAGCCTCGGCGCCCAGCACTTCCAGGAGGGACAGGAGAAGCTAACGGACAGCAAAGATGGCAGGGGCTGACACGGGATCAAACTCCAGTAATACAACAATGGTGCTGCTGTCATCAGGGAGGCCAACCGAACTTCCCACGGCACGATTGTTTTCTTCTAAATTGCAGTAATGACCAAAGGGCAGTGTCAGGCAGAACAGCTTCTCAGAATACATCCCTGTATAACGCTAGTTCGTATATCTGATCCTTTGCCTGCTAAGCAGTTACCTGGTTCGGCCCAAGAGGTACAGCTGTGGAAAGTGAGGGGGTGTGTAATGTTTCCACCCGAGAGAGGGAACATTTTCGGGGGTCTTACAGGGAACGTGGCACAGTACCTGAAGGCCTGGCGGGTTCCAGGAGCGGAGGATTTGTGCCATGGGTTTGTGCCCATCTCCTGACTTGTGCAGCCTTGTGTCTTGATCTGCCCCGCTCTGGATGGGCAGCAGGGAGTTCTCCACCAGCCTCCTCCAGGAACCCCCGCCCTGGGGCCGAAGGCAGGCATGGGCAGCGTGCCAGCACTGCAGAATTCTGTACAGTTTACACATTTCAGTTTCATCTCAGCCAGATAGACACCCGCCCCTGGGCCCATTTCTCATACTGCCACCATCCTGGACTAAGAGGCTGGAAGATGGGTGACTGAGTTCACCAGCAATAAAATCCTGGGCTGACACAGCCTGCAGGCGCTGAGCGAGTCCCCAGCAAGGAGCAGGCCACAGGCACCATCTGACCATGTGGGTCCTTGAGGTAGGACCCTTGTGAAGAGCCCCAAGATCTCAGCCTTGAACAGATGGCCCCAGGCCCGGGAGGAGGGAGCTGAGCTTTTCTTCCAGGCAGCCTCAACCTTTCGTTTTTCTCAAAGTGGCACTGGAAAGAAGGCTTCCTGTGTTTCTAAATGTGAAGGTAAAACAAAATTAAAAACGTGCCAAACCTGACCCGTGCTGCAGCTCCAGAGAAAGGTGCTCACAGCTGCGTGGGGCCCCAAAGCCTCGAGACGGGGACAGGACAGGCGCGGAGGGCTGCTGGTCGCAGGACGGGGACGGGACAGGCGCGGAGGGCTGCTGGCCGCAGGACGGGGACGGGACAGGCGCGGAGGGCTGCTGGCCGCAGGACGGGGACGGGACCGGCGCGGAGGGCTGCTGGCCGCAGGACGGGGACGGGACCGGCGCGGAGGGCTGCTGGCCGCAGGACGGGGACGGGACAGGCGCGGAGGGCTGCTGGCTGCAGGACGGTGGGAAGTAGGCGAGGCTCCGGGCAACAGCATCAGTCAAGCAGCAGTTACTGTCCCCAACTGACACCTAAAGGCTGTAACACTTGAGTTATTTTTATATGAAGTTTTAGCAAAGTCTTGTTAAATCATTTCAGACCTAATGAGCTGATTGATTACCTGTTTCCTATTTGAAATGTAATGGTGTGGATAATGTATGTGAATTTAAGGCCTTAAAGTTAGTCCTAATTAAAAGAAAAAAAAAAAGCATTTCCTCTGGAAAGCAGAATAGTGGCCAGCTGTTTTTTGTTCATGGTGTTTTTTCTCCCCTTTCTTTTTCGTGAAGGAAAATCTTGCATAGGGTTCGTTTTCCTAATGTGTTTGCCGTGATGGATTGACACGCTACCCACAATGGACTCAGACGTATCAGGGATCATGAGGGTGGCGCCGGACCGGGCAGTGTTTCCTTCTGTAACACCTGAAGTTGCCGTGGGTCAGAGCGACTCGGTGGCAAGTGAGAACAACAAAAGCAATATGAAACAGTTACATGTTTAAGCACCGTTTTGTGAAGGAAGTTTACTAGGACATGACAGAAGGCGTTTTTGAGACATTTCCATTAGGATGTCCTATGTGCTCGGGACCAGGGTGCTCCAAGGGGAACAAGCTACAAAGCTTTGTCAGATCAGTAGCCTTGTTGCCGCTCAGCCGACAACTCTAGGAACGCTTAGGATGGCCTGTTCTCACTGTTGGCAACAAATTCCCAGCTTGTGGAGTGGGTGATGATCCCTTTATACAGAAATGCACATCAGCTCACTCACTGTGCCTCTGTGTCGCAGACAGTTTGTTTCCGATAGTTTATTTTTATGCTGTGTGAACCCTGTAAAGTCTGCCTGGTTTTCAGAAATGTGTCTGCCGAAGGGCAGTGACGTCAGCTGTGGTGAAGCGGTCTCACCTGCCATCCTGTAGGAACTCCTGTCCATACTCCAGCTCACGTGCTTAGAGGATTTTGCTTATTTGGGCATCAACACATTTTCTCCACGTAATTATAGTGTAAGTGTAATTAAGAAAATAAGAAATGAGCATACTCAGTGCCTGTCAAGGGGTTGGCGTCAGAATCTACGTGGTAGCACAGGGTATGTGTAGCACAGATGTGCGTGAAAGTACACATTTTAGCCCTTGGCTGCCTTGGTATATGATTAATTACATCATCCACTGTGTGTTCCTTAGTTTAGTTTTTTTTCCCAGTAGGAATAATAATACCGCCAACCATGATGGGAGCCCTGGTGGCACAGTGGTGAAGAGCTCAGGCTGCTAACCAAAAGTGGTTCAGATCCACTAGCCGCTCCTTGGAAACCCTGTGGGGTGGTTCTGCTCTGTCCTATAGAGTTGCTATAAGTCGGGAGCGACTCGAAGGCATTGGGTTTGAGTTTTTTTTGTTGTTACCACACTGAGATGTTATGCTAAAGAACCTAAAGATATTTCCTGAAAACGTTAGAGTTGAGGAGGTAATACAGGCTAACAATATATGTAAGATCAAGAAGACTGTTAATAATAGAATTTAATAATGAAAGGATGTTCTGTCCTCCACTTTGAGGTTGTAAAGGACACCACCAGGCTTTCCAAAACACGGTCACTTGGTGCCCCTTTCAGAAACAGAAGGATGTCTGGAGTGGAGCGTCACCATCGTCCTCCTGCATGTTACCATCAAATAGCAAGCCCCATGTAAGGCTCGGTATATGATCCACAAAGAGCTTAAACAATCTAGCAACGAGGAGCTTGCTCTCTCTCTCCTGGGAATGTGCACTCAAAATACTAATAATTTTGTATACCCTTTAGGTAAATAAGAGAAAACAGTGATATTTTTAGAGAAACTAAACCTCTTTACAAAGGAAGTAATCTCAAGAAGGACTTCTTTTCAGTTGAGAATCTTGATGGGGTTGGATGTACAAAGGGACCTGAAGTTAATTCCATATGTTAAAAATAATCAAAACTCACCAAAATTTGAACGTAAGCTTTATTCTGAACGATTATTCTATGTGCATATAGGGAGGCCATTTTGAATCCAGAAAAAGCAAATGGCTCAAAGAAGGTAGATAACATTGGGGTTTATAAAGAGAAGGAAAAAAACCAAACCCATTGCCGTCGAGTTGATTTTGACTCATAGTGACCCTATAGGACAGAGTAGAACTGTCCCATAAGGGTTTCCATGGAGCCCCTGGTAGATTTGAACTGCTGACCTTTTTTGGTTAGCAGCCAAACTCTTAACCGTTAATGCCACCAGGATTTCCAATATAGAAGATCAACCATTGGCTAATCTTACCATGACTGAACTCTGCCTTCCCTCTTGGCTGAGATCCACTGATAACAGTTTCCTTCAGGCCTGGCTGCTAATAATTTGGCCCTCCACCCACCTGCAGCCATGAGACTTTTAACAATTTAAATGAGGAGATAATGAATCCTGGTGGTGCAGTGGTTAAGAGCTCAGCTGCTAACAAAAAAGATTGGCAGTTCAAATCCACCAGCCGCTCCTTGCAAACCCTATGGGGCACTTCTACCCTGTCCTATAGGGTGGCTGTGAGTCAGAATCGATGCCAAGCAGCGGGCTTGGTTTGATCCTTTTCTAGCAGGATAAGACAAATTTATATTGGTATAGAGCAGTTTCTGGCAGGCTTTTTATGGTTAATATTTCGTTTCGTGGATCAGAAAAACCTTAAAAATTAAAGTGAGATGTCATTAATTTTCCTCTTCAGCACATAGGAGGGGCCAATAGCACTTAGCACTCCACCTTAAGACGGAGAAAAGGATAGAGGTAGATCTTAAGGAACCCAGCTGACAGCTTGGTTACAGAGGACAAGCAGTGATAATAGTATTAACTGTTGTTTGGGTAATGTACTGTAAATATTTATGGTGAGAGCTTATGGTCTTCTAACGTCTTTCCTGAGCAAAGGCTCTTGTTAGCTACTTTCAAGTAGATTTCAACTCATGGCAACCCCGTGTGCAGGGAGGAACTGCTCCAGAGAGTTTTCAAAGGCTGCGACCTTTCAGAAGCAGATCTCCAGGCCTGTCTTCTGAGGCTCACAAGCGTTCAAACCGGCAACCATGAGTTAATGGTCAAGCACTTAACCATTTGCACCACCCAGAGACTGCATATTGGAGCTTTTTAAAGCCCTTGTGGGTTATCTCGGAGCCCTGGTGGCACAGTGGTTAAGAGCTCAGCTGCTCACCAAAAGGTCAGCAGTTCAAATCCACCAGCAGTTCCCTGGAAACGCTATGGGGTAGTTCTACTCTGTCCTGTAGCGTCGCTGTGAGTCAGAATCGACTGGACTGAAGAGGTTTAGTTTTTTGCATGGATGTATCTTATTCCCCAGATTTCCCTTCTAGGCATTATGGTTCGTCTTTGTTTGCTGCAGTTGTTCACCACCACCTCAGGCAGCTAGAAGTTACACAGTTACCTCTTCAATGTTTTGTAAAACATCCCCCCACCCCGGCCCTGGGCAACAGGCTTTGCTCTGAGCCGGCTCTGAGTCGGGTCCAATAAAGACAGCCTTGCAAGTGGGGTCTCCCAGGGAGCCTCTAAAACCCATTTCCATTGAGTCGATTTCAACCCATAGTGACCCTATAGGATGAGCAGAGCTGCCCCATAGGGTTTCCAAGGCTGCCATTTCTATGGAAGCAGATTGCCACATCTTTCTACTGAGGAGCAGCTGCTGGGTTCCAACCACTGACCTTTCAGTTTCCAGTGGCACGTTTAACCGCTGCTCTGCAAGGGTTCCAGTGAAACACTAAAAAAATAAAAACCAAACCCGTTGCTGTTGAGTCGATTCTGACTCATAGTGACCCTATAGGACAGGGTAGAACTGCCCCATAGGGTTTTCAATGAGCAGCTGATGAATTCGAACTGCCAACCTTTTGGTTAGCAGCCGAGCTCTTAACCACTGCGCCACCAGGGCTCCAGTGAAGTACTACCACGAACCGAACCAAAGCAAACCCGTTGCCATCGAGTCGATTCTGACTCATGGCAACCCTATAGGACAGAGTAGAACTGCCCCATAGGGTTTCCAAGGAGCAGCTGGTGGATTCGAACCGCCAACCTTTCAGTTAGCAGCCGAACTCTTAATCAGTACCACCAGGGCTCCAGTGACCCACCAGACAGGTCAAATACGTACTATTCTCTGGGCGTGAGGCTTTCAAGGCGCTCCAGCCCTGTTCTACCGTCGCCAGTGACTGCCAGGTGCTGCTTTTCACTGTAATTGTGGGCTCTTGGTTTGAAAGGCTACTGCTGTGGAGCGGGGGGGGGAGTCAACCACCACCAAACTCACTCTCCTTCCCGAGATTCAGTTGTCTGTCGGAAACAAATCCTCCCTGAATTGCTGCAAGCCTTCAGTTGATTTCTAGATTTCTAAAATTGTTTATTCTGACAAATTTTGCCAGTTTTCTCATTGCTTTTATGGAGGAGAGGGTTTTGAAGGTCCTTACTGCAATATTTTTCCCTGATGTCGCCCCTTAGTCTCCTTTTTAATAGCTGCAGGATATGTAGTGACATGCCCTATTTCGTTCCTGGGATTGATGTTTTGTGTCTTCTCTTTTTGTTTTCAGTCTTGCTAGAGCTTTATGGATGTTAATGGCTTTTTCCAAGAACTGTTTTTTTGTTCATTGATTGTCTTCATATTTTCAATTTCATGGACTTCTGATTTATTTTTGCCTTCCTCCTGCTT